TGTGTGTGTGTGTGTGTGTGTGTGTGTGTGTGTGTGTGTGTGTGTGTATGACGATCTCTGCATCTAAAATTCAAGTGGTGCAGCCTGGAATACTATCGCCAAAAGTGAAAAATCATTTCAGAAATGAATAATATTTTGTTGTGAACAACTCTCAAAACATACTGTTCTGTCCTTCAGGATATGAGGTTTATAACTAGAGTTTAAAATGCCACATTTATATGGATAAAACATTTTCAGTTTCAGGAGAAAATAAAGTAAAACGAAATAGGAAAAATAGACATTTTAGACGACTGGTTACTAAGTAATTGCATCTATAAAATTGAATGAGACATCAGCTATGCTTTCTTTCCCAAAAACTCTTAACCATTTTTCCCTCAAACTAAAAATAACTTCAGGTGTGCTTTATGGTGTTTATAAAAGAAGACCTTTACTAAATATGGAATTTAGAAGCAGAAAGTGGATTAGGAGCATACCTTTATAAACTGAAGGCTTTTATATCTACTTTTTGTGCCTCCTTGAAGTTGGTTGGTTTTATTTTCCCTCTTAAAACTTCTAATAAAAACTTGTCCATTTCTCACTCAGCTGTGATATTTGTTCAGTGAATTTCTGAAATCTCAGAAACTTGGGGTCTGAGTTTGGGCTAAGAGCTGGGATTTTTCCCGAAAGAGAAAGGGAATAAGAGAAAGTGTCTTCTCTGCCTTTCGTTTGTTTATAACAACTATCAACTCAAAAGAGCATCATAATAGAAAAACTACAGGTAGTATTTTGCCTGTTTGTTTTTAGCAAAGCTTCTTTTAAAAAGCATGCAGTTATCATAGCAAGCTAAGGACATGACTATCACTTTGTTACTACATTCCAGTTGAAAAAGGGAAGATGAAAAGGTTAAATGAGTAATGTGAGACCACAGCACTAGTCAGTGACCTCACAACGAGCAGGATACAGAATTCCCAAATAACACAACAACTTGATGATGTAGGGACTCTAAGTAGCCCATAGCACAGGCGGACAACTGAGGCTTAGATGGGTTAGCAGACTTGTCCTTAGGCACTAAGCTAGTAAGTGGCAGAACCAAGCTTCAGATCCGCTCACTGATGCAAACCCTGAGCTGCAGGCCGCCCCCAGGGTAGCAAACTGTGCTGTCTCAGCCCCTTCAGGTGTGTTTGTGTAAACACAGCTGCAGTGCCGCGTGGTCTCACAGCCCCCGCACTGTTAGAGAGGAAGCACTTCAGGGATGGTAACAGGAAAGGAAAGCTGCCTCCCTTCATCCTGAAAAACATCTTGAGTTTATCACGAATGAGTTTTTCTTTGTTAGAGGGGATTTTTTTTTCTAGGCTAAGGAATTGTTACTACACTGGTTACAGAGGTTCTAAAGCTGCGGTGGAAGTGTCTTTTGATGAACCGGAGGAAACAGCTTCGTTTTCATTCTGATTCTGAGTAAAGCAAATAGTATAGTCCCTTCCAGAATATCTGGTCTAAGTTTTGAAGGTAACAATAAAATTGTAGAGTGCAAATATCTGCTTAAAACCCTGAAGCAGCTCTCCTTTGATCAATTTGAGATCTGTTCTCTTAGAAGAGTGTCTTGGCGTCTGGCACAAGTGGAGAGGAGGCAAGACACTTGCAAAAACAGCGTATCGGAGGTTTGAGAATCTGGAATTGGAGGTGCTCCCGGAGTTGTGAAGTGTGCTGGCTACATCCACAGAGACCCGCGCAGAACTTGGTTCCTCCCCAAGCTGAGCCTCCAGTAGTCCGCACTGTAGACACTTCCTGCAAATGTGCTAATAGGCCTTATGAGAACGTTCTATAACCACCCATCTGTCACTTTTTAACAGACCTGATTGGCAAGCACTTGTAACAACTGACATCTGTTCATGCTTATTGATATGCAGATTTATGGTAATTGCTATGAACAATAAGACACAAAATTACCTAAGGTGAACATTAAATTAAATTTTCATGCCCTTCTCCTTATAAATAATTTTTTTTAATGTTAAGTTTCAAGTAGGCATATTGTGCATCTGTTTTGTACATAATTTCTTTGTCTTGAGAAGGATTTTTTCCCCAAGTACTGAATGAAAAGTTGAATCCCTGTATTCCCGACTTTATTTGCCATCTTGATAGCCCATTGTTAGAGTTACTAAAACTTATTTAAATGTGTTCCGTGTTCAGTCACCCGGATTATTGCCC